TTTTCCTTAATCTGAGAATGTGTTGGTTTCCCCTTTATTTTTAACAGACATTTCTGAATTATATAGGATTCTGAACTGACAGTCATTTCCTTTTAAAATGTAAAATATTGGGCCTCCTTCCTTCCAGACTCCATGGTGTTAGATGAGAAATACACTATTATTCCAACTATTTTTCCCCTAAAGGAGAATGTCAGCTTTTCTCTGGCAGGTATCAGGATTTTTTTTTTTTTTCGGTGTCTTTAGCTCTCAGAAGTTTAATTATGAGGTGTTTTGCTGTGGATTTTAAGTTTGTCCAGTCTGGGTTTGCTCATCTTCATTATCTGTAGGTTTATTTGTTGTTGTTGGTTAGTCACTCAGTCGAGTCTGACTCTTTGTGATCCCATGGACTATAGCCCACCAGGCTCCTCTGCCCATGGGATGTCTCAGGCAAGAATACTAGAGTGGGCTGCTCCTTTCCTCTCCAGGGGACCCTCCTGACTCAGGAATCGAACCTGTGTCTCCTTCACTGAAGGCAGATTTTTTTAAAACCCTGAGGCCCTGGGCCTCCCCTGTAGGTTTATGCCTCTCGCCAAGTTTCAGAGGTTTTCAACCCTTGTTCCTTCGATTAGTGTTTCTTTCCTTCCTTCTCTTCTCATCCCTGGTTTGTCCCCTCTTCAGAACACAGGCGTTCCGGTGGAGAGACAACGTCTCTCTCTGTGCTGTCCATAAGGACGCCCCAGAGAGATTCCTGACCATCGTGGGGCTGAAGCCCTGAAGAGGGCCGTTCTCTCATGAGCCAGACTTGTAAATGCAGTTGATGTAATGACCAGAGCATCGACTAACAAGCTGTATACAGATCACACAAGAACTTAAGCACGGTGTACACACATCACACAAGTGCACGGAAGAGTGCACATGTGGCTCTGCTAAGACTGTCTCTCCTCACCAGGCCCCAGACTCACCCAGATCTGCTGGCTCTGTAATGTCCACCTCCCCTATCCCCATATGCTGGTTCGTGGTCCGTGGTGGCCACTGACATCACCATAGTAAAACCTCTGGGGACACTGCCATCCCCACAGTCGCTGAGCTCGTTCTGCAGCTCCCTGACTGCCCCTCAGCCAACCTGTGTACCCACACGGACCAGGACACCCATGCTGGGTCTCCCCATGCCGGGTCAGAAGGCCTCTGGTGAGAGAATGTCTGAAGTCAGTGACCTCGAACAGAACTCCCTCTTTCTTCACGGCTCGTGGTTTGCGGGTGACTCCCCAAACCCCCAAGGCCAAGCCACCCAGAGGCTTGTTCTTTAATTTCTTCATGACTTTAGGTGTGGCCTGCAGACCTTTTGTAAGCAGTGGGTTTGTGTGTTTGGGACAAGTGGCAACACCAGTGTGGAGGCCATTCCCACAGGGTAGGCGTGGGAGGCAGAGGTTGGCTGAAGCAGGATGGTCTCATGCAGATTTGCAACTTTGTTGAGAAGATACTTTCCATGTGAGAGGGACTTTTTAAAGAATTTATTCTTAATTGGAGGATATTTGTCTTACAATATTGTGTTGGCTTCTTCCACATAATAACGTGAATCAGCCATAAGTATACATATGTTCTCTCCCTCTTGAACTACCCTCCATAGCCCCCATCCCCCCATCCCAGACTGTCATGGAGTGATGTGTTGAGCTTCCTGTGTAATACAGCAACTTCCCATTAGCTCTCTGTTTCGCATATGGCAATGTATGTTTCCATGCCACTCTCTCCATTCATCTCACCCTCTCCTTTCCCTGCTGTGTCCGAAGTCTATTCTCTATGTCTCTGTCTCTATTCCTGCCCTGCAAATAGGTTTATCAGTACCATTTTTCTAGATTCCATGTATATGTGTTAACATATGAAAAAATTTTTTTCTCTCTCTGACTTAATTCACTCTGTAAAACAGACTCTAGGTTCATTCACCTCACTAGAATTGACTCAACTGTGCTCCTTTTCATGCCTGAGTAATATTCCATTGTATATATGTACCACAACTGCTTTATCCATTCATTCATCAATGGACATCTAGGTTGCTTCCATGTCCTGGCTGTTATAAATAGTGTTGCAATGAGCATTGGGAGTACATGTGTCTTTTTAAATTATGGTTTTCTCAGGGTATATGCCCAGTAGTGGGATTGCTGGGTCATATGGTAGTTTTATTCCTAGTTTTTAAAGGAATCTCCATACTGGTCTCCACGGGGCTTCCTTGATGGCTAAGTTATAAAGAATCTGCTTACAATGCATGAGGCACAGAAGAAGTGGGCTTAATCCCTGGATTGGGAAGACCCCCTGGAGGGGGGCATGGCAACTCACTCGAGTGTTCTCGCCTGAAAAATCTCATGGACAGAAGAGTCCAGTGGGCTACAGCTCATAGTGCTACAAAGAGTGGGACAGGACTGAAGTGACTGAGCATGCACACGTGCTCTCGTACTGTTCTCCACAGTGGCTGTGTCAGTTCACATTCCCACCAATAGTGCAAGAGGGTTCCCTTTTCTCCATACTATCTCCAGCATTTATTGTTTGTAGATGACCATTCTGACCTGTGTGAGGTGACAACTCATTAGTTTTGATTTGCATTTCTCTAGTGATGAGTGATGTTGAGCATCTTGTCATGTGTCTGTTGGCCATCTGTATGTCTTCTTTGGAGAAATGTCTAAGTCTTCCCCCCACTTTTTGATTGGGTTTTGTTTTTCTGGTATTGAGCTACATGAGCTGCTTAAATAACTTGGAGATTAATCCTTTGTCAGTTGTTTCATTTGCAATTATTGTCTCCCATTCTGAGGGTTGTCTTGTTATGTCGTTTATAGTCTCCTTTGCTGTGCAAAAGTTTTTAAGTTTATTTAGGTCCCATTTATTTATTTTTGTTTTTATTTCCATCACTCTAGTCAAGGAGGATATTGCTATAATTTATGTCAGAGTGTTTTACCTATGTTTTCCTCTAAGGGTTTCACAGTTTCTGGCCTTACATTTAAGTCTTTAATCCATTTTGAGGGTTTTTTTGTGTATGGTATTAGGAAGGGTTCTAATTTCATCCTTTTACATGTATTTGTCCAGTTTTCCCAGCACCACTTATTGAAGAGACTGTCTTTTCTCTACCCAAAGCGATCTACAGATTCAATGCAATCTCTATCAAATCACCAATGGCATTTTTCACATAATGGAAACACAAAAGGCCCCAAATAGCCAAAGCAATTTTGAGAAAGAAAAATGAAGCTGAAGGAATCAACCTTCCTGAATTCAAACTATACTACAAAGCTATAGTCATCAAGACAGTATGGTACTGGTTAAAAAAAAACCAGAAATATAGACCAGTGGAACAAGATAGAAAGCCCAGAGATAAACCCATACACCTATGGACACCTTATCTTTGACAAAGAAGGCAAGAATATACAAAGAAAGGACTTTTAAAAAGCTCATGAAGTAGTATTTTTTTTCTCTTTTGCCTGTAAGAAAACAGCAAGTTTGTAACTTTAAGGGGGAGGTGGGAGGAGGAGTATGAAGAAATACAAAGTGAAATGACAAAGAATTCACAAATGAGAAATTATTTTCCTTCACGCTGAGCAGAATTTAGCAAAAGGCCCTGAATTGGAGAATTCTGCATGAGATTTCACTGAAATTGCACAAATCCTATAAAACATTTTAGTTGACTGATTTTTTCCTCTCTTGTTTTCTGATAAAAAAAAAATGGGGAAGTTATTCTTGTGCTGCAATACTCTAGAATAGTTGTGTACTGGAGGGGTCTTCAGAGGATGTGGTCAGTTTTCTGGAGCAGGAGGGATCTCCCAGGTTGTATGTACACATGAGTGGGAAGAGGGGGTACCAGGGTGGAGAGTCAGGACTTAGTCCTGTCCTCACATTCCAGAGAGCATGAACCTGCAGAGTTAAACCTGTGGTTCTCATATTAAAATGGGAGCAGATAAAGTGATTGCTTTTTAAATCTTAATAGATTTCAGGTATGGTTTCTCTTTCTAATCTGTATTTTCAACCCCAGTCAACTTTTGAACTTTGCCTTCAGGGACAAAGACATTTTTGTGGGCTGTCTGCTTCTTCAGAGCTCGCTCCACAGCAGCCACACACCTCTCTGGGCCTGGCAGTGGTGGTGGGGGTGACAAGCATCTATCTGCTCCAAGGTCACCCTGGTCGCCCCCACCCTGGATCCCTGGATCCTCACATCCCCCATGTTGTCATCCTGGTCACAGCCCCTGAATCCTGGTGCTCCCACCTCACCCCTATGCAGAAGTTAGTATGCTTCCTGCTCACCTGTGGGCTCCTTGCCTCCTCACAGACACCAAGTCCTAGAGGCCAGTGGGCTCCACCACTGTTTCTGGAACCTGTGTACATACAATGTCTGTGCAAATACCTTGAAATTCATTGGAAAGTAAATCCAAGCCTTTGCTCACAGAGGCTGGGAAATCAGCCAGTGGTCCTGACTTGCTTTCAGGGCTGGGATTGGTGTGGGGCAGCCAGGCTGGGGTGGGAGTCAGGTTTCCTGCTCTTCTCACCTTGGGTGCAGGTCTCACTGTTACCTGATGGGTGCAGGGGTCTTGGCTAGAAGGGTGGAGCTCAGATCGCCTGCATCCTTCACGAATGCGGCTGTCTGCCGGAGTGGGGCAGGTGGTATGCTTGACTCTGGCTCGGCTCCCAGAGCAAGTCGGTTTTGTCTTTCCTCAGCATTAATGCAGAAGAGATTTTCCAGTGGGCCAGGTGGCTTAACGATAAGGCTGGGCCTTTCACACTTGGGCACGTGGTTGGGTTCAGTCCAAGGTCCTGGTGAATTACACTGTGGCTGCAGTCTGGGCAGTGGCCTCGCTGGGCCTCCCTCTGGCTCGTGAGTCCTCCTCACAAAGTCCTCAACACCCTCTGTGGTCTATGCAGCTCCACGCTCCCTTTCCCACCTGGGGATTTCAACCTCCCAGTCCCCAAGGGGTGGCGTAGCCACCGTGGAAGAGGGAGCCCTCAACAGGCCAGCGTGCCCCACTCCCGGCCATGGAGGAGCCAGCAGCTCACACGGAGGAGGGCGGAAGGGGTTCTCTGCCCTGTGGGGCCCACTTGGCCAGTGGGGCCTGTGGCCACAAGGGCAGCTCAGAAACAACCTGCCCCCGGGCATGGCTGGGCAGGGGCGAGGCCCTGCAGTCGGTGCAGGGCTCACACGGCAGGCCCGAGTCCAGCTGCAGCAATTGCTGTCTGTCTTCAGAGCAGCTGGGTCGGCACATCTGAGCAGCCACCACCAAGCCTCCAAGGAGGATTCCCGGGAGCGAATACTTGGCCTTCTTCACTGGAGGAGACAGGAGACAGAGCCCAGAGGCTGTGTTCAGGCTCTTCCAGGCATGACCTGGGAGGCAGCTGAGGGCGCGGGGGCCTCCGGCGGCCCCAGGACCACAGCTGGACACGCAGCCTCATCATCAACCCTAAAGTATCCTCCTAAGGAGAGTCTAGGGCCAAGCCCAGTCATGCTGGACTATGAAGAAAGGAAGGTTAGGGCCTCAGAAAGGAGGCGGGAGGGGCTCCTGGGAACTTGAGAGCCAGCACGGAAGACAGGAGGGAGCCACGGAGATGGAGAGCAGATCTGGTACTGGTGGTAGGCCTTGGATACGGGAGGGGTTGAGGTCGGTGAGGGTCCTTGGGGGGCCGGGAGCTGCAGGCACCAGGTGAGAATAGGTGGTCAGGGACCTTGGGGGCTGCAAAGCCAAGGGCATGAGCTTCTGCCCATGTACCCTGTCAGCCTCTTGTTGTTCCTCTAACCTCCAGCCCTTCAGAGAACAAGTAACCAGGTGTCCAGAGAATGGCTGTCCACCAGCATCTGCCCAGCGCAGCTCCCAGGGAGGCCCACCCTGTCTGTGCCTTACTGAATAGGCGGTGCTGCCCAGGGGAACCAAGGCGGCACGTCATTCCTGCGTCATTCCTGGGGGTGTGAGAGCTGCTGAGGGGCCTCCTTGAGTTCGGCTCTTGAGGATGTGGGAGGAGATTGTGGCTTCGGGGGCAGTGTTGAGACTGTCACCCTGGAGGGGACTCGGAGTTAGGGCTGTTGTGTGTTGGTCCTGATGTGACAGTCAGATCCTGGGTCCCCTCCAGCCGCTCAGCTCTGTCCTCACTGACCCCACGCTGCCACGTGCAATGGAGGTAAATCACACAGACCCTGAATTCAGCTGCTACAGGGAGAGGAGACACGCGAAAGGAAGGTACTTGGGACGGAGAGTCTGGAGGGCTGAGGGAGAGGGAGTGTGTCCTGGCTGGGGAGGTGCCCAGAACAAGCACTCGCCTCCTGGGGAGACTCTCCTGCCTCGGAGACCCAGACAGTGGAGACCCAACATTGGGGGACTGTCCTCAGATAGGACAGGCCCCGCGCCCTCAGCACGGGAAGGGTGGGGTGGGTCCCCTTCCCCCTCCATGTCCACAGCACCCCCCAGGATGCCCTCTGCTAGCTTTTAGAGCAGGCTGCCCCTCACTAGAGTTCGTTATACCCAGAGAGTGGCGCCCCCTTAGATGCAGTGACAACGTCCCGCCCCTCATGGGGGTGCTCATCCTGCTCGCGTGCCCCGCTGGGGTCCACCTGGGCCCCCGTCTTGGACTTTGGGCCGGGTCGTGGTCTGCGTGCTCTGCGGGGGGCAGGCGCGCTGCTGACCTTGCTGCGGTGGTAGCTTCAGGGCCTGGCGTGGCCCATGTCCACAGCCAGTGTGGCTGCTCGTGGGTCCTGGGTTCTGACCCACAGCGAGTCAGGCCTGGTCCTCAGACTCCAGACTTGCTGCTTCCTGGAGTTCTTCTGGCCTCTCTGGAGGCTCAAATTGCTGCTCCCGTTTTCCCAGAAACAGATGTCTGGCCTGTGTGGCTTTGGGCTGGGGGAGGTCAGTTGGTGGCCCAGGCTCCTGGGGTCACTGCTGAGGGGGGCCGTGGGAACCCCGAGCTGTGACTCAGTGTAACCCTGCAGGCCATGAGCACGTGGACCGAGTGCTTGTGGGACTGACTGTGGTCTCTGTATGGAGTCCCCGAGAGAGGCGGCAGCATGGACTCAGCCAGGAGGGAGGAGGAAGAGGAATCAGCAAAGGCTTCATGGAGGAGGTGCTCTGATGGCTGGCTGGGGTCTGTTCTTTTTGTTTCTTTTAAATGTCTTTTTTATTTTAAAGTCTTTATTGAATTTGTTGCTTATTGCTCCTATTTATGTTTTGGTTTTTTGGCTGGGAGGCATGTGGGATCTTAGTTCCCTGACCAGGAATTGAACCTGCACCCCCTGAAATGGAAGGCGAAGTCTTAACCTCTGGACCTCCAGGGAAGCCCCATGGCAGGACTCATTTCCCCTGATTTGCAGCAAGCGAGTAATGATAGTTACCTTCCCTAAATTTCCGAAATCACCAGAAACACTGCCAAGACCCTCCATGATAACTGGAGAGAAAAATCATCAGTTACTTAACTTTTTTGGTTCATAGAGGAAGACAAAGACCTGGAGAGCAGGGGCAAGTGGGCCGCTGTCCTGACTGCAGTAAGTCCAGCTTCAGTACAAGCTGACATGTAGCTCATATATTTTTAGGACATGAAGATAAATATAATGAAAAAATGAAATAAGGATAGAGTAACTCTGAGGGAAAAAAAACTTGATTTGAGGAGAACAGAATACAAAATCCTAAGTGCAAAGCTCAGTGAAGCCCTACAGTGAGAACAGTGGGGTCTCAGCGCCTGGTTTCAGGGAGCCTGCCCTTCGCCACATTGGCACTATGTCCTGCCCCCTCAACCTTGAATAGCCATAGGTTGGCTTTTCCTGATTTTGAACTTTGTATGACTGGAGTCAGATAATATGTATATCTGGCTTCTTTCCCATTGTATTTGTAAGAGTTATGCTTGTTGGTGCTTGCTGTTGTAGATCCTTACTGCTGAATATACACCACAAATTATCCCTTTGCTGATGATGAACATCTGTGTGGTTCCCAGTTTTGGGCTATTAAAATAGCAGTCCCATGTCATGGTATCTGATGGGTATACTCCTCAGGGCAGAGTTGCTGGATCATTAGATAGGCACCTACTAAAGGTTTTATTTTCCTGGATAATACCAGGTGGTTCCACAGGATTGTACTAATTTACACTCTCACATTGATGAATGAGTGTCAGTCTTTCTACATCCTCACCCACACTTGATTATCTGAGTAACTTTTTAAAGATAGGGCAACAATAATATGTAGACGGTTACAATAAAATCAAAAGGAGCGTTTTGGAGAAATAGTGATGGCAGACTCTTTGGACCATGAACATAGTAAATGACAACACTTGAATAGTATATCATCTGGCTGTGTTGTGGGTATGAACACCTAGCACAGTGTCATCCAATCTGTATTTATGTGTCCATATCAATAACTATTTGATTGGTCCCTCAGTAAGGGGTCTGGCAGAGGGGCAGTGTCCTTGGATGAGGCATGTGCTGTGGCTATTGTGGCAGAGCTGAGGGAACCAGTCTGGAAAGGAAATGGGGGTCAGAGGACAACACTGGCAGTCTGTCTGAGAAGCTGAACATGTCTGGCTGCTGTGGATCAAGGGGACACACAAGGAGACCCGAGGAGGTTGAGCTTCTGTGCGGTTGGCAGCCAAGTGTCTGGCACTGGCCTTGGGGTCAGCGGCTGGGAAGATTTGCAGGACGTTGAGAGGAAGCGTGAGGACAACTGGAGCCTCCAGCGCCTTTGCGCTGCCCGCCTCTGCCTCTGACCCGACGGCCTCGGGACCATGCAGCTACTCCACTTCTGCCTCCACAGCCCCAGCAAGTTCCTCTCTGTCAGCCCTTCGCTGACCCTGGGTAAACTGCCGAAATCTGCTCAGTGTGGATCTGGCATCCACACGGGCCTCTTGGAGTGTGTTTCTCTTCTGAATCAGGAGTGTTCAGCCATAAACGTGTTGACTCTCTGTCCCAGGGATGGCGCAGTGCCGGGGGCGGGGGTTGGGGGCCCCGCGTGGGGAGGGGGGGCAGTGCCTGCGGGGGTTCCATCCAGGGGACTGTGCTCTCCCCTCCTCTGCCACCACAGTCCCGTTTGACGGCCTGGGACTTGAGTATCGAGATGTCACCTTAATCACTGTGAAAACTGCTTACAGTGGATAGTAAGAGATGGGGGAAAGAAAGGAAGAAATGGCAAACACATATGGAGATAAATTTATATGCCAACAAGGAGGAGGTAACCATACTCACCATCCCCTTGCTTCTGTAGCTGGACACAGGATCCCACCGGCAGGATGCCATTCACTCCGGTTCCCAGCCAGCACCTGGAAGCCTGTGGTCCGCTGGGCTGAGACCATGATGTTTGGGGTGCAGGTTGGTTATTTGGGGTAACACCTGTGGAAGGAGGAGGGAAGCAGAGCAGGAAAGAAGGACATGCTACCTGCAGTGTGGGCCCAAGGCCACCTGGGTCAGTGCCCTGGGAAGGCTGCTCTTTGGGGGCTGAACTGACCTAGCTGCCATCCTCCCTTGCTCATTAAGTGTGACTGCCCAGGATGGGCGTGACCTCGGGGGGCGTGAACACCACCCAGAGGCTCTTCTCGTGTCCAGGCAAGAATGCTTCTCTGGGGGGGGCTTCTCCCCAGGCAGAGCAGCCTGGACACCCCAGCTACGTCTCTCACTGCCTCAGGCATGCAGTGACGGGGGATCCCTGAGGGAGCGCAGGCTTGAGAGGGGGCCGTAGCCCTGCTCCTGCACCTTCCTGGGCTTGTGGGATCTGGTGGGCCTAGGGAGATGCCGCCCAGGCCCCCACCCCCCCACCCACCAGGTGTGCTCTCAGCACGCGGGAGCACTTGAGCTGCCCATGGACACCTGGGAGGGTGTGTGGGCTCCTGAGCAGTGGCCACCCAGCTCTGCCCCCATTTCATTCTCCGCCAGACTGACCCAGGTAGGCGCCTCACACCCCACACCTATCTCAGCACCAGGAACCGCATGAGGGTGGGACCTGGCCTCCCTGACCTGTGGCCTGACATTCTAGATGAGCAGCATTTGAAGATGTCTTTTTGCTGTTGATTTCCAGAGTCAGTGGTGGAGGTCAGGGGACATAGTGTTTATAAAGTGAGCTGCATGGGGTGTGTCCAGACAGCCTCTGTGATCACGTGCGCTTCATGTCCTGTACAGAGGTTCTTGCCATCTGTGTTCTGGGGTGTAGTGTTCTCTATCTCTATGTGTATGTGTCATTTTTAGATCAAGCTGATCAACCAAGTGCTTCAAACTTCAGGCATCTTCTGGTATTTCCCTGACTCATCTCTCAGTTCCCAAGAGGTCTGTGGACCACCTCCACACCACCCGTGATGGTGATTGTGATCTCCATCCTTAGTTTAGGTTTTACTGTGTGTTTTTCAATGTGGCCTCCAACACGTTCACAATCGTATCTTTTGGGTGTCTCTTCCTTCAATCTTTCAGAAGTATTTTTTTATACCTTTTAATACTTTTTATCTTAAATTCAATTTTGCCTGGTATTAATGGTGCTGACAGATTCCATTTTGGTAATATTTGCCCATTCCTTTATTTTTAATTTTTCACTTTTGTTTGAGCTTAATATGTTATAATGAATGCATATATTGCCTTTTTCTTGTTTACACTGAGGAATGTTTCTTAATTGATTGGTTGGTCCAGTGTACAATTTTTATGATTTCAGAAATATTTGCACTTAATTCAGCCATATTATTATATTTTCTAGTATGTTTTATATTTACTTTTTTCTTTGTTTTTTCTCTCCTTTTTGTATATTGATCTAGTTTCCTTTTTAACTTTATTCTTCTGTAGGTTTTAAAGTCATAGTGTATTTCTATTCTTTTAGTTTTTGCCTTTATATTAATGTTATTAATACAAATCATATCTTTTTCTAAAATTTCTAAGGTAATAAGTATTTAGATTCTCCGCAGATAGAAGATAAAATTAGCATAATCATAATTCCCTCCACTCTCATCAGTCTGTTACTGTCCTGTCCACTGTCTGGGATTTTTGTTTTTAAAAGTTTGTAAAAATCATCTTATTTTATACTAAATGTGTTTTTTAAAGTTTTTAAAGGTAATATACTTAGGCAATGAAGCATTTTATTAATGTATTTGTTACTATAACTTCATATCTCATTGCTTCTGTTGGACTCCGTTTTCTTTTTATTGGAGTGTGTTCTCTAGAATTGGTGAAAAAGACCTGGTGAGCGTGGACTTCTGATTCCTAGTGAGTCTGAACCTTCACTGGATGACAGATTGGCTAGATTTACAATTTGGGATTCCAAATTCTCTTCCTTTGGCACTTTAAAAATATTATCCCACTTTTCTTCATGTATCCAGCAATGAGAATAGTCTGATTTTACATAATTTTGCTTCTTGTGGAAAATAGGATTTTTTTCTGTAGCTTTGAGGATTTCTCTTATGTTTCATGTTATGATATGTCTCTCCAGAGTGTCTAGGGGTAGTTGTGTGTGGTGCTAAGTCACTTCAGTTGTGTTTGACTATTTGTGACCCCATAGACGTAGTCTGCCAGGCTCCTCTGTCCATGGGTTTCTCCAGGCAAGAATAGTGGAGTGGGTAGCCTTTCCCTTCTCCAGGGGATCTTCCCAACTGAGGGATTAAACCCAGGTCTCCCTCATTGCAGGCAGATTCTTTATCATCTGAGCCACCAGGGAAGCCCAAGATTACTGGAGTGGGTTCCCTATCCCTCCTCCAGGGGATCTTCTGAGCCCAGGGATCAAACTCACTTCTCTTACATCTACCTGCTGTTGGCAGGCACGTTCTTTACAACTAGTGCCTAAGTGAAACCTGTTTATGCTGCTCAGCATTTGACAGGCACTGAGGACTAATTTATTGTCAGGGAAGTCCCAAGAATTACTTCTTTATCCAATGATTTCTCTGTAATTTCTCCATTCTTTCCTTTGAGAGCCTGAGTGAACATACATCTCATCTCCCTTTCACATCTTTTAACTGTCACACTATCTAGATTTCAGACATTCAGGAAAAATCCCTCAGCCTCTTTTTATGGCTCATTATGGACAGTTTTGTTGTGTCTACTTTAAAATTCAACACATAACGTGAACTTTTACATTTTTACAGTTTCGTTCCTGCTTTGTCCTCTCTCCTAGCTGCCTCCTTGGACGCCCGTCTCCTGCGGTGTTGAAGACCTCCTCAGGTGAAGCCATCAGCTCTCTCACGGTCCCGCAAGGCCGCTTTCCTGGGCCCAGCCTGTGCAGGGGGCTGCGGAGTCTTCTCTTCCGGGTTTGATTCCAAGTTCAGCAGTGGTGAGGGCGTGGACAGGCTGTGCTGCTTCTCACGTTTGCTGTTTCCCCCATCCTTTCAGGGTTTGATACACAAATGAGGAGAGACTCAGCATATACTTGACTTGCAATCTTAATGTTGAAAGCATTTCTACTCATTTAAAATATAATTAATAAGTTATAATCCTAAATAGCAACATGTCCTCTTTTATAAATGGCTTTGCTATAAGGCTCATTTTGCCTATTCTGGAGGAATTGTTTCTTAGAGGCACTGATAAAGAGAACAATTACATGTTTACAGATGTCCTCAGAAGACAACAAATTTACATATTTATGTTATATAAATTGACTGTGAAAAATCTCTTCTTGAAGTTGTGTGTGGTCTTCCTTTGGAAGAAAAGAAAGATCTGCTAAGGGGTGATTCATGACGGTGGAATAATCGTGAGGAGTCCTGCCTGGGTTTTCATTTCTTGACCTTCTGCTCTGATTGCATGTTACACATTGTAATCTAGCAATTCTGGCAATTGGTTTTCTTAACGGGTTTAGTTAAAACAGTTAAATAGGAATGAGTGAATGAAGCACTCACAGCACGTGCTCACTGTGCTGGCAGTGGGGTTACAGGGAGAGCCTGGCCCTGCTCCTGCCCCAACAAGGACGGCTGAGCTGACCAAGCTCCCCACCGCTGCCCCCACGGTGGGAGCCTAGACCACAAGGGCCTGGCCTGGTTGGGCGCAGGGGCTGTGGGTGTGGACTGTTTCTTGAAGGAGGTGCTCCCCTCAGAGTGTGAGGAGAACAGCCCACCAGCCACTGGGCCTGACTCCCAGCCACTCTCAACAGGGGGTCCTTTGGGCTGGGCATCCCCACCCCTAGCTTCTGGGTGTCTGCCTGGGTGGGCTTCTTGCTGGCCAGTGATACACTGCGCACTCAGTGGCCGGGCCACCGCCGAGGCCCTGTCCTACACGTGCCAGTCTCTGCTGAATGCAACCCCTTTCTCAGGAAGGTGTGCTTAGCAGAGAAGAAGCCACAGGGCCCAGAGAGGCCTGGGGACCGGCTGCTGGCCACACAGCATCCACAGCCTTGGGTCCAGGCCCTGCCGGGGTGCGGCACCTGAGCGGGCGCTTGCTGGTGAGGAAGCAGCGATGACTTAAGGTTAGTCCCAAAATGTGCTCAAGAGAAGCCGGCTGCAGGTGTGTGGTGGGGCTGCTCGGCCTGACCCACCCCAGGGCAGCCTGGGCCAGTGGCAGTGTGTCCAGCATGGGGACAGTACAGAGAGCCTCAGGTCTGAGAGGAAAATAAGAATCCAATTCTGCTGATGAGGTGCTGATAAGGAGCGCAGCCAGCATTGGTCAGGACCCCCAAGGAGCAGCCAGGCCTGTGAGGAGTCGGGGAGGAGTAGCCAGCACTGAGGCAGCTCCCAAAGGGGCTCCTGGCAAGGTCAGCTGCCAGGTAAGTGCCATGAAGTCCCAGGGCGGTCAGTTTACCAGTCCACCCGGGAACGGTGCACAGTGTTTAGTCAAACAACAGTGTAGTTGCAGTGAACTTACTTTCAGGTGAGATTAACTTTCATTATCAGTTGACTTTGAGTCAAGCAGATGATCGTCCACGTATGGGTGAGTTGCATCTGAGCAGTTGAAGACAGTAGAGGGAAAAAGAGTTTTTCCAGAAAAGAAGTGCTTCTATGTCAAGACTTCCTGTCTGTGCTTACAGGCTGCTGGGCTGCCCTGCAACCTTCTCAGGCATCAGCCTCCATGACTGCTGAGTCGGTTCGTCACATCTCTCTCTTATATACACACCCACGTCCTGAGGGTTTCTTTGGAGAACCTTGGCTGATACACTGATTCCGTGCCAAGGGACTCTACCTCTGGGCCCCGTGCCACTGTCCCTGTGCTCGCCTGGGGCTGGGTCCTCCACGAAGACAGGCACGGCCAACTCTAGCTCTGTCTGCAGCTCCTGCAATCTGCAGGTGCACGTGGCCAGGGCAGGGCCTCTGGGAGGCAGACGGCCAGTAGCACTGGCCAAGAGAATGTGGCCAGGCTGACTGAGAGTCCCTGTGACAAGGTGGCAGTAGAAGGGACGGCATGGGGCACGGGGGGCCCGCACTGCCCCCCAGCCCGGTCTCTGACCAGAGGCACCTCTTGGGAGTGGATGAATCATAAACAAGATGGTGGCTCCAGAGGAGCTGCTGGCCCCTCCACTCTGACTCTGCGGGTGAGGGCCTAGGTGACGTGCTTTTTGCCTCGTCAAATCCAGTGTGATCTCTGCTCCCCCTCAGCTCCAGGGCCCCTTAGGAGGTGGGCTCGGAAGGCACCCAGGGGGAGGTCCCGCCTGGACAGGCCGTGGATGCAGGGAGTCTGCATCCCAGCTGCTCCCTCGTCACCTGGACGTGGGCTCCAGCTGTTTCACCTTTGGTCCAATGGCAGCATCTCCGGCAATGAAGCAAGACGGCCTTTCCCTTGAATCTTGAAAAACCTCACTTCTCACATGAAGTGCATGTTTCACGCAGCAAACATTTGGTCATCCAAATGTGGAAAGTCCACTGTTGGTCCTGCCTTGCTGACAAGGGTGGACAGGAGGCCTGAGGAGAAGACCATGAAACTCCACTCCCCCCTGCCCCCGGCCATGTTGTCACGATGGATTACCTTAACTCCAAGTTTATCCCTATCATGGGCAAAAGCCTTGCACTTCCTTCATTTTTAAGCTCTGTAATTAGGTGCACACAGTTCCTTTGATCAGCATAATAGCTGTTTACAGCCGGGGCAAGGCCCAGCACCACCTCCTCCTCCCAGGGGCCCCCAGGCTGCTTCCACTGCCTCACTGAGAAGAAGAAAATCCATCTTATTAAAGCCTCATGCTTGCAATTGCGGGTCCCCTCGGGAGGCCCTGTGGGGACCCTCAGCCTTCCTGCAACACCACCACCACAGACCATCGCCTGCGCTCTCGCCCCTCCTGATCTGCAGGGCAGGTCCGCTCCAGGTGGTGGAACACTGGCAGCCTGGAGAGCCCTCAGCAGCCCCCGTCTTGTGGCCAGAAGATCCGAACTCTTGACAAGCTGGTTCCTGTGCAGTCAGGCCCACAGCCTCCGGACAGCGAGGCCTGGTTCCCGTGGCCTGTGGCCACCTGAAGCTGCCTCTCTCACGGAACTGACTGGTCGTGGGGCACTGGACCCACCTGGAGACGCCTTGAACTTGGCCGGATGGACCTGGCTGTGGACAGTGCCTCGGTCCCAGCAGGACCGGATCCCGCTCGAGGCCAGACGTGCTGTGGTGTGATCGGCAGCCTGTCCAGAGCCCTGGCTTCTATGAGAAGGGCTCCTCCCTGACCAGTGGCACTGGCGTCTGGCAGGTCTGCCCAGGACTGGCAGTCCTGTCCAGCGAAGCTCCGTGGCCTCGGTGCAAGGTGGGGGCTGTCAGCAGAGAATTTAAAAGCAATTCAACCAGAGAGATCATGGCTTGTTTTATTATCACCATGAACCGGTAGTTCTAAATTCACAATCCTTTGTTAGGACTAACGGTTACTGAAGTCATGGAGCAGGGGCACCCAGTCACTCCAACACCACTCGAGTGTGGCCCCTGGGAGCTAAAACAGCAAATCCCTGTGAGCCACTAGCCCTCTTTGGTGAAGGGACGTTCGTAAAATCAAGAAGTGTTAATCTATGACTCCTTTCCTTTCTTAGGAATATAATACCTGTTTTACTGTTTACCAGTTTTTAATTTTTAAGGTTTTCCTACATGAAATTTCATGACAGAAGATTTCTATCTTTCCCAGTCACTGTTATTGCTTGTCTCCCCGTTGTTGCTGAGAGTGCTCTTGCTGTGTGGACAGGAGGCTGGAGTGACTCATGGAGGGGAGTGTGGGGGTCCTGTCCCGGAGGCTGGGATGCTGAGATGGGGGTGCTCCCCCAGCCTGAGAGGCCACACAGCGTCTTGCGAGTGGCAGCCAGAGGCTCACAGATGGGGTTTGGGTGGCATCTGCACTGATGGGACAGCTGGCAGCCTCCTGCATTCTTGGGAACCGTCTGTCCTGACCTTGTGGACGGCAGTTTTCCAGCCCCTGGTCCTGAGGAGCCCGAGGTTTGTGTGCTCGGCCCCATCTGGACCAGCGGGTGCTGGCGTGATGGCTAGAGAGCATCTGCTGTTCCACGTGCATCCCTGCCCCTGTCAGAGGATGTGCAGGTCTGGAGGAACCTGGGCTCTGGAGGCAGAGGCCGGTCACTGCCGCCTGGGCTCCAGGGGCAAAGCCACTTTAGGCGAGGCTGTGTGCTCACGGCTGGGCTGCCGGCCGCACAAGCTGGGCTTGGGGAGAGTGGGTGAGTTAGCTAGCAAGGCTGGTGGGCCAGCTGCCGTATTCTAAGTGCAAACACATTGGATATTTATACTTGACTGTAAAGAGGAGGAAGAGAGAGCCTTCTTCAGAGGGAAGGGTTGTGGCCAGCTTTCTTCAGCATGGACACCCGATAGGGCCATCAGCACCCCTCGTGCTCCAGGACCATCGGGGGCACCGCATGGGTTGGGCCTGGAGCCCACCACACACTCACAGCCCCCACCTGGGGTCTCGTCTATCCCAGGCGACCTCCCTGCCTCTGTCTGATGCGTCTTCCTTTCCCTACCAGGCTCATCCCAGGGGCATCTCTTTCAGTCCAGTGGCCGTCCAGGCTGACAACGACCAAATTTACCAAATTTGTCTCCCCAGCCCATGCCTCCCCTCTCAGCCCACCAAGTATCTGCACAGCACTAAGCCGGTCCAGGTCAAGTCTCAGCATCCACGTCCCCAGCCTGCTTCCCCTCTGTCCTGCAGTCTTCCTCGAGGCCCTGGTCGGTGCTGCCTGAGCTGAGGGCTGGGTGCTTCTTGGTTCTTCTCGTCTACTGCAAACATCCAGCTGTCAGCAAAGACCAGGGCCCTCTTCTAAGCATCCTCCAGCCCCAGCCAGGACTGGCTGGGCAGGGTTACCTGACCCCATGCTCCCTGGGTCCCTGAGAGGCCTCCTGCCGTCTCTGCCTCTGCGCCCTCCCCGACCCCTGGCCCCCAGCGCTCACAGAGCCGCTGCTGCGCCTCTTCCACCATGAAACGCTCTGTGGCCCCTCAGCCCGACCCTTGGTCCTCCGCCTCCTCTGGCTCCCTGTTCTCACCCCGGGGCCTTGGCAGGGCTGTTCCCTGAACACATTCAGACCCCCTCAAACGCCTCAGGTCAGAGAGGCCCCCTCCCACTTTCCGATCTCCGGTGGAAGCGTCATGGCTTGTTCACAAGCTGTGCCCCGTCCTGGGGGTGGCGGCCTCGGCCCGGACTGGCTGCTAGCCCTCCTGAGAGGGCCCGCAAGCTCCTCCCCACGTCCCTGGCCCCTGCCCTGTTTCTGAGACGCACTCGGGGGCAGCGTGGGGCTCCAGTGGAGGAAAGCGGACCCTGGGGCCGTTCAGAGCAGATGGAGGACCCCGCGCTGCGGCCCAGCCCTGTTCACATGCTCCTGCTGGGCAGGGGCGAGGGCTGTGGATGCCCCGGCTCCCCTCCAGCTGCCACTTTTGGGGGGCCTCAGGGTGGCGGGGCACCAGGCTCAGCAGAGGGCTGGCCCCACTCCTGAGCCACAAGAAACGTGGCAGCAGCTCACCCCCATCTGCTGAGCAGGCACGGGACCCGTGAGATTTCCAGCCCCGTGCCCTGCCGGCAGAAAGCGCATCACCCACAGTTGGTGAACAAACCTGGAGTCTGTTATGGGCTGAATTGTGTACCTGCCATCCACATGCTGACGTCTTGACCGCAGCCCTTTAGAGTGGTACCTTATATGGAAGTGGTGTCCCCACTGGAGGCGTGTGGACCCTCGCCCAGGGCCTACCGTCCTTGCTGAGAAGGGGATTTGGACACAGAGGAAGATGGGTGGCGGGCCCAGGGAGAAGACAGTCCTCTGGAGGCAGGGAGGTCGTCCCTGGGGCCTTGGGGCAGGCCCTGGACGCGGCGGTACCCAGCCTCCAGAAGTGTAAGCTGCAGGCCTTTTCTGTGTCAGCCCCAGACTGTGATTGTGTAACACCACCCGGGGAGACACACGGGCAGCGCTGGCTCTGCTTGGCCTCTGAACAAACAGCCGTGTGAACCAAGGATGTCCTTCTGCTCACAAGGCTCTTCAGGACTTAACCGCTGTATTTCAGAGGCTCATTGAAGCTCAGGCTTCAGAGACATTTGCGGAGATGCCGTTCCAGGAGTGCTGCCCCCCACGCAAGAGACTGGGCAGCAGTGGCCCCTTGCAGCCACTGGATGCCATCCACATAAGGGTTCAGAGTTGAGATTGGGAGGAGGCCAGTGCTGGGGGCAGAGGCGGTGGCCAGGGCCCTCGGGGCCAGGAAGCCTCAGGCCTCAGTTGCACTGGAACCCCTCTGGGTGCAAATCACATGGGAACTGAGGAGCTGGACCTTCCCACGGTTGGTGTGGGGCAGCGTTTTCTCTTCCAGTGGAAAGAGAAACTGAGAACTGCCAGGAAGAGGGAGGCGGAACCCAGGGGTGGGTGGAGATTCCTCGAACCAAGTTCTCTGAACTTCAGAAGAAGCTAGTTTTAATGCTGGTTCTTCTCTCTCTCGCTCACACGTTCGTTTCTGAAGCACTTACTGCTGACTTCCTGGCCCACCAGGGGCCAGGGGCTGACGAGGAGCCACAGAGAGGCTGGTGTGTGCATCTACTTCTGGCTGCGGTGGCTCGAGGGCCTGCAGCCGACCCGCACCCAAGCCTCCCGGCCGCCCTCTGGCCCTCTGCCCCCTCCAGACCTGGCCCTGCAGCTGCCATCTCTCGCCGGTTCCCAGGAGGCAGTGGTGGTGAGGATGGAGATTGCATTACAGCTGCAATCCATCCAGCAACATCTAAAAGACCTCCTTAAAGCGACCATGGTCACCATGACTCGTCCGCTGCCTGTGCAGAGGCAGCTGAAGGACTGGGGGAGGGCACAGCCCAAGAAGGGCCCGGCCCCCACTTGCTGGGGCACCAGCAAGTGAACAAGCATAGCTCCCCCCGCCCCTGACTTTCTCTCATCTCGGGTCGGGGAGGCTGGGCCGCTTTCCTGGGGGGGATGCTCTCAGGTGATGAATATTTCATGAGGAGGCAGAACTGGTCAGAGAAAGATTAGGAGCACCACATCCTTGGAGAGAAGAAAGGACCGTCTGATTCCACGAGTCAGCTGGTGTGTTCCGATGGACAGTGCCTTGGAAACTGGGCTCGGGGGATGTGATGTTGCGTGAGACCCCCCTGGAAGGGGGCAGCGGGGGAACTGAAGGGCAGCACAGCACCACCCTGTCCCGAGATGTGGGGGAGATTGAGACCTCCCTCCAGGTGCCTGCTCCCGGGACACAGGTGCGGCTGAGAAAGAGGAGAGAAGTGAGGTCGTTTCAGTCATCCCCCTGCTGTCCTGTGACACTGATTTGTGAAAGTACTTGTCAGGTAGCCCGCAGCCTCTGGCATAATGTAATTGCTCATTTACAATCATGTTACTACTTTCAAATTTTTTTCCCTTGGGGAAATTATCAGAAAGTAATAAAGCACTTTGTTAGTTTTTAGAGAAGAACTGGGAAATCTGGCAGTGAATGCTTAAGGCAAAACCAGTAAGGAAGAGTCATGTCAGGACTGTGGGGGAAGTGGCTGTCGGGGCACCAGGAGTTGACTCTGCCCCGAGGAGGCTGGCATCCTGATCCTGACCCGACAGGACCTGCGCATGGCCGGACCTTTATCCCTTGGAGCATGTGGTCCATCCAGAGGGGACTGAGGCTTTACAAACTCATTTCCTCCCTAAATTCACATCAGCTGGTGTTTTACATACTTGTCTCCTCACTAAACTCCCGCCAGCTGGTGTTTCCTGGGTCTCTGAAGTGAGGGGAAAGAAAGCAGCGCACAGAATGGGCGGGGCAGGACCGCCCTCCCCTAGAGGAGGCTGGCAGGGCCGTCCCGGGCCTAGACCACCTCCTTGCTGTTACGACGGCCCAGAGGAGACCACGTGGAGGCAACCCTGCCGATGCTCCTCGCAGACTGAGGTGCAGGCATGCGGGCCGGGCAGCGTGGTCCGTCCCGAAGGGTGTCAACTCTGCCGTCCCCACAAATGCAGCAAAGGCCCAAGTGAGGGCCCGGGCGCCCTCCAAGGGTCACCTGGTCTCCCCCGAGCGTGAGCCACATGGCAGAGGGGTGGGTGCACTACGCCCCGCCTGAAGACAGAGTCCAGACGGCACAGGCTGCTCCATGTATGATTAACTCCGAGCTCCGAGGCTACAGTGCCCACAGCCACCATGGGTGCAGGGCACAGCCAGAGACCCCCCAGGACCACCCTGATTGGCTGCTGCCCAGAGTCCTACGGCAAGTCCCTGACCGTGACAACTGCCTCCCTGCAAACTGTCTTAGAGCCCGAGGACTGCTGTGCTTGGACGTAGCGAGTCTCCTCTCCTGGGTTAAGAGCCTGAGAAGTGTGCGGAAACCTCGCCGGATGCTGGAGTTTCTGGTGGCAGTCCCCGGGGAGGGTTTAGGTGACAGTCCCACACCCAGGACCCAGTCAACAGCAGAAAAGCGGCTGCAGGGGGCCGGAGCAGACCAACCTCCCTCCTGCAGCACGGAGCTGACAGGTACCCGGCCTTGGAGTCTCCTGGTGAGATGGCAGACGGAAGAGAGTCTGATGGGTCCAGGTTTCCCAAAGGAGGGTGGGAACCCGGGAGGGGGAGGCCAGCCCTTCACCCCAGTTCTCTCCCTGCAGAGCGGCCAGGCGGGTCCCGGCAGGCATGCACAGCAGCAGTGCCAGTGACAACAAGCGGGCCGCGCTCTGGCTGGCCCACCCCTGGAGTACACTGGGTTCCTGCTCATGATGGTGCCATCTCCCTGGCAATGAGGGTGCTGCCCTGAGGTGCAGAGCGGTCTGAGCTGCAGTCGGGGGCAGGGGCTCCTCTCCTGTCCGTGTGTCCTGCCTTCCTTACCTGCGAGGTGTGTCCAAGCATCAGAGTCCCCCCGTTTCTGCAACAGCGCACACTGGAGGGCTGTGCCCCGGAAGACTGAGTCATGCAGTCTCCACGGTTGTCATGTGGGGCCAGGAAGGACCCTCAGCTCCTGAGAGGACGGGGCCCCATGCAGAAACCCAGTGGCACTTTCCTGAGGACCCCAGTACCGAGGACACCAGTTGTGTGGTCAGCATAGACCGACCTTGGAGACCAGTGCCCTCTTGACCTTGGCCGCAGCAGCTCTGTGACCGTGGCCGGGGGCTCAGGCCTCAGTGGCAGGAGCTGCTGGGCCTGTTGTCTGCCTCTGGGTCCTCAGAGTGGGTGGCTTTGTATGGTCAGGGGGCTTGGGGAGGGGTGGCACCCCCCACGCCAGCTCCAGGCTCGGGTCATCTGTGCCAGGCTCCTTTCAAGGGAACTCAGCTCGCACTCTTCTGCGCTCAGGTTTCCAGTGAGGACGGAAGAGGCCAGAGTGCAGCTGGGTGCCTTTGAGTGGGTGCGGGCTGTGCTCGGGAAACATGAGGAGGCCCGCTATTTGCCTGGGGACCACCAAGCAGACACCCAACCCCCCCACCCCGCCCACAAGGCTGCCTGTTGGTGAGGCCTGCCGCAGTGTCTGGTGCGTGCTCTGGGGGCAGACACGTCCAGGGGCCCTGGACTCTGCCCAGGGGGGTCAGTGGTGTCCTCAGCCCTCCGCCTGGGGAAGTGAAGGCACCCAGCTCCCTCCCCAACAGTAGCTGCCGTGAGCTTGAGACTTTCCTTCCTTCTAGGGAAATGAACTTGGAGTTTGCAGCAAGTGGGATTAGTGGCAGGTGGGAGTGTAAACGCGGGAGGAAGTGGGGTTCTCATGCTTGTGGTCCAAACCCTGTGCTGGGGCCCAGCCACTGAGCCTGCCAGGTGGGGTGGACATGTGTATGTGTGTGCTTACATGTGTGTGTGCATGGGTATGTGTCTTGTGCATCTCAGTGTGTGCACACACCCGTCAGTGTGTGTGTGTGTGTGTGTGTGTGTGTGTGCAAAGTTCTGGTCAAGGGAGGCTGAGTGATGCCCAGCCTGAGGGTCTAGGCTGGATGGCCAACCTCAGGCTGGCAGAAGTTCCTGTCCAGTTGTGCACATGGAGAGATGGCAAGGAGGGAGTCTGTTTCATGGGCCCTTCACTGAGGTTTCCAGAAGCTCTTCACGACCCCACGAGGGCAGCTGTGAAGCTGGAGCAGGAAGGCGGCCATGAGTTCCTGCCCGTGAAGGGACATGAGACAGTCTCGTCATGACTGCCGGGACACTGACTCTGGTAACACACGGCAGGGTGTCAAGCAGGCCTGAAGTGTCCTCTCTGACCTCTCCCAGTGTCCCACGAGCAGCAGAACTGAGGTGGCGAGTTTGCAAACCCCGCTTTCTTGACCCTGCGGGGTTGCTGGTGCCAGGTCAGGTCCTTGGGACCTCCCCTGGCGACTCTGAGCCCTCTGGGGGCCGAGGGGCTGTCCTGAGGGCTGGCCTCAGAGCGAATCATTCTGTGGGGTTGGCATGGGAGAGGAAGCTCTGGGAGGGACGGCTGTAACCCACTCATCACATCTCTGGCTCACAAACCTTCCTTTGCAATCCTCCCTTGGACTCTGAACTGGGTCCCGGAGTGGGACTGAATTAGAGAGCTGTTGCCACTGTAACAAATCATCACAAATCTACTCACAGTTCTCTAGGGTGGAATTCCGACATGGGTCTCGCTGGGCGAAAACAAGGGGTCAGAGGGCTGGTTCTCTCTGGAGCCCCTGAGAATCTACATTTGTTCCTGGGCCGTTTACAGCCTCTAGGGGCACCGCGTTTCTGGGCCGGTGACCCCTTGCTCCATCTTCAGGGTCAGTAGCATCAGGGCTCTCCAGTTCTCTATGTCTCAGGTCAGCTGACTAGAAACCTAAATTGTCCCTTTCCAGGGAACATGACACACAGGTTCCAGAGCTTGGGACACGGCCATCCTTTGAAAGCCGTGTGGTAAGTGTGGAGACCACCTCCCAGCAGGAAGGAGAAACATCCATCTGATCAAGCAATGATGTGCGCCTGGCGGCACTGGGCTCCCACCAGGAAGCAGGAGCATCTGCCAGGGTCTTCTGGAGTGCTGGCAGTTTGGCCCTTACTCATGGAAAGGGTGTACCTGTCTTGTGTGTGCATGAATCCATCCAGAAGGGATGGAGGGGCAGTGCTCTGGTCCTGCCCCAGGGGTGGCGGCCTCAGATGACAGGACTACTTCTCACATCTCTGCCTGAGTCAGGACTCGGAGCCCCCTGCCCACAGGTGACATCAATCTTTGCATCCTTCTTCAGGCCTGCTCCTCATGGCTCCTTCCTCACCCACCTATGGCAGTTTTGAGCCAAGGAACACTGTTACAAAAAAGAAAAAAAAAATGAAAACATGTGAAGGGAGAGGACATCTAATACCGCCCTTCTGCTGGAGTCGATTCAGGTGTAAGGCAGCTGGTGGCATTTGTGGGTTCAGTTCCGAGTTGGGAGGCCTTGCAAGTGGACATGCAGGCAGCAGACTCAGGGCCCGCAAAGGAGCATGAAGACATCTTTGTGCTGACTTGATCTTTCTGTTGCCTGGAGACGCACATTTTATGACAGACCACACCAGAAATATGCATACGTGTGTCTGTATGTCTACATGTACAAATTTATATGTGCAACAAAACTTATGGAATACTCAAAGCTATGACAACCTAGACAGTGTATTAAAAAGCAGAGATATCACTTTGCCAACAAGGTTCATATAGACAAAGCTATGGTTTTTCCACTAGTCATGTGAGGATGTGAGACTTGGACCATAAAGAAGACTGAGCACTGAAAAACTGAAGCTTTTGAATTGTGGTGCTGGAGAAGACTCTTGAGATCCCTTGGACAGCAAGGAGATCAAACCAATTAATTCTGAATAAAATCAACCCTGAATATTCATTGGAAGGACTGATGCTGAAGCTCAGTCTCTAATACTTTGGCCATCTAATGTGAAAAGCCAACTCATTGGAAAAGATCCTGTTGCTGGGAAAGACTGAGGGCAGGACGAAAAGGGGATCACAGAAGATGGGATGTTTGGATGGCATTACCAACTCAAAGGACATGAATTTGAGCACACTCTGGGAGATAGTGAAGGACAGGGAAGCCTGGCATGCTGCAGTTTGTGGGGTCTCAAAGAGTTGGATTTGACTTAGCAGCTGAACAGTAACAACATCATGGAAGTTAAAATTGTTAGGTTCATAAGAAAATAGAGATTATGCAAAGTGTAATTTACCTGTTGGACTGGAATTAGTGCAGAAGGAAACGACTGAGCAGGCTTGTGAGCAGAGAGTATTTGTGAGAATGCTGCAGCCTAAGGGGAGAAGCCTGGGCTCGGAGTCATGAAGTTCAAACCTGGATGGACTATTGACTGCTGGGTGGCCTCAAGTGGGTACCTGCACCCCTGGGCCTCAGCATTTGCATCTGTGATAGGGGATGGTAGTGGCACCTCCAGGCTTGTCCTGAAGTGTTAGTTGCTAAGTCGTGTCTGACTGTTTGTAACCCCGTGGACTGCAGCCTGCCAGTCTCCTCTGTCCATGGAATTCTCCAGGCAAGAATACTGGAGTGGATTGTCATTTCCTTCTCCAGGGATCTTCCTGACCCAGGGATTGCACCTAGGTCTCCTGCACTGCGGGAAGATTCTTTACCATCTGAGCCACCAGGGAAGCCCCAGGCTTGTCCTGAGCCATCTGGATTTAACGTCCTCATTATAGTGTCTGGTATACAACACCACACGGCTTGAGTGCACCTGAATCTAAAACCATTGCCACTCAAAGCTATCACTTCTCAGGTACACATGACATGCCCTGCTGTGCAGGGCACACACTTGGTCTGTGTGGCCAGGGGTGATCAGCCTGGGACCACTGAGGAACATTCAAAATTCAGGTGCCCAGGCTGACACCCTAGGACGCCTGCACCCCAGTCCTGGAGTCTAGCTGGGCCCCCACTTGTGTGCTGAGCTCAGGGATGCTGCTCAGTTAGACAAATGACTGACAGAGACCAGGTGACCATTGCTGCCTTCCACATGTGGGGCCTGGCTTCTGGGTCCTGCCAATCCTGGTTTTCTGTGGTTTTGCTTCTCTGGTGGCAGCAGCAGGGGCTGCTTGCTGAGGCATGGTGGAGTGCAATGAATTTGGCTCAGGACCCTCTGTCACCCTCTCCAAGATGGCTCCCAGGGTCCGGCCTAGAGCTGCTGCCCATCAGGGTCCTTCCCTCTGGGGACCTGTGGCATGTCTGGACCCGTGTCTCAGATCCCAGCTTCGCAGAGTGCTGTCTCCTGGCCTTACCCTCTCCCAGCCCTTGGGGCAGAGAATTACTTGGTGTAATGCCTTTAACTGAGGTACTGTTGGTACCGAAATGGAGCCTCTGACCTTAGCCCTGGTGTCCCGGTGCGGGGCCTCCAACAGGAG